CAACCATCGGGAAAACCATATCGTCTCTCTCTCTCTTGTGTATTCCCACATCCCTCAGGAATTTGCCCTAAAGATGTGATCAACCATCTTGTGCGTACGTACCATGATCATGTGTACCATGTACCCTACGGGTCATATGCAACTGATGCCTTTGCGTATTCCCACTTCGGCACAGGAATTTGATTAAAAAATGTGACGAACTCCTCTCTCTCTGTCTCTCTCTCTTTGTCTCTCTCTCTCCCGCTCTCTTCCTCTGTCTCGCCTTCTCTCTCTCAGTGTCTGTACCATGTCTAGCACTGGTAACAAAGGTATTTGTGTATCCCCACATCCGCCCAGGAATTCCACAAATGTGACCAACTATCTTGCGAGTACGTATCATCTCATGTGTGTCGTGCACACTATCAAATGTAACAGAGTTGTGTATTCCCATCATCCCAGGAACTTGACCCAAAAATGTGACCAACTCCGCTCTCTCTGTCTCTCTCTCTGTCTGCTCTCTGTCTCTCTCTCTGTCTCTCTGTATTATGTATTGTATGGCACAATTGCACCATGCTGGGCACATGCGCGCCCCGAATAAGTGACCAAGTTCTGTGGGTGTGTACCCCACGCCAGTGTAGTAGCCACGGTCGTCCGCACGCCACGAAGTGAAGTGTCCCAACGTCATAGGGCGGGAAGCTGGGTTTGGGTGGTCGCGAAGAGTCGTTTGGATATTTGGTAGAGCTTGTAATGCCCCCCCACGAAGTGGGGGTATTGCCTGGTGTCGTATGAAAACCCTGGCACTGGGGAGAACACCACGCGTTCGGGTAAAATGATTGTTGTTGTTGTTGCTGTTGTTGTTGTGGTTGTTGTTGAACATTATTACTTCTAAAGAATAATTATTGTTGGGACCCCTGGTGCACGGCCCCCTCGCCGCGCCTAGGCCGCAGCCATGTTTTCATCATTTTCGTGAGGAAGTCTCCGGCAAAACGGGTTGGTCCGGATCCGGTTGTTTTGTTACGGGCGGTTTTCCCTTGCAAAAAATAAGGCAAAGTGGACATTTCTTGTTCTAACATAACCAAACTTCAAGAATCCCTTGCAAAAAATGAGGTAAAGTGGACATTCGCGCGCGCAAGACGAAATCCTTCCAAAACCTTAGTGTTCGTAGCGATTTTAACATAAAAACATCAAAAAAACCAATGGTTTTTCAAAGAAAAAGTGTCAAAATTTTATCCCGCGCGCTCTTGCGGATTTGTAGGAAGCCCAACACTTTTTAAACATTTCTGTCAAACGGGCTTTTGCGAGCAACTTTCTCACGTGCTTCGAACTTCTCCAACAACGGTTGCGCACCTTCCGGCGTCGTACTGGTTTACCGTGGTGTCCTATTCTAGCGTCAGGAACAGGTTACCACCAAAAACCAGTACAGGTGTCCAGTGTTGGAACAGGGGGAAAAGTCGTATACTAAGCTAGCTTCCAGAAAATGTTACCACAACAAGTCACTGTACCCATGCGCCAGTGTAGTAGCCACGGTCGTCCGCAGGCCACGAAGTGAAGTGTCCGAACGTCATAGGGCGGGAAGCTGGGTGTGGGTGGTGGCGAAGAGTCGTTTGGAAATGTGGTAGAGCTTGAACCGGCCCCCCCACAAAGTGGGGGCATTGGCGAGCGTCGTATGAAAACCCTGGCACTGGTGAGAACGGAGTGTCCCCACGTGCTAGTACTTGTTGTTGTTGTTGTTGTTGTTGTTGTTGTTGTTGTTGTTGTGGTTGTTGTTGTTGTTGGTGCGTGTGTGTGTGTGTGTGTGTGTGTGTTTGTGTGTGTGTGTATGTGTGTGCGCGCGCGTTTTTTTTTTTTTTTTTGTTTTGTTGCGCGCGCGTGTGTGTGTGTGGGTGATTGCTGCTTGTCTCCGTGGGATCGGCGCCAAGTCCGCGCGGATATGAAAGATGGCCGGCAAAAAAGGATAACCAGTAGAAAGAAGGAGGAGGAGGTGAACGAGGTAGAGGAGGATGATCATGAGTATGATGCAGACGGTGATGATGATGATGATGATGATGATGCTGATGCTGATGATGATGATGAGGATGATGATGAGGATGATGATGATGCTGATGATGATGCTGCTGATGATGGTGATGACGATCCTGATGCTTATGATGATGCTGATGATGATGGTGCTGATGATGATGATGCTGCTGATGATGATGATGATGAGAACGATGATGTTGCTGATGATGAGGAGGGGGAGGCGGAGGAGGGGGGAGGGAGGCACCCGAGCCGGAGGAGGAGGAGGAGGAGGAGGAGGAGGAGGAGGAGGAAACGGGAGGTGGAGCAAGCTGAGGAGCACCATCACCAGTATCAGCATGGGGCAGGAGCGTGAGCTGGGGCAAGAGGAAGATCAGGAGGGGGCTTGGGGAATCAGAAGCTCATGACGCCTATGAGCCAGAGGGCCACAAGTGCGCATGGCCGCGATGTTTCAGGTCCAGCGTCTAAGGAAACCGAGATATCGGGGCAGGGGGTGAGCTTTCCTTCCCCCTCCTGGCCCCCTCCCATTTCCTGTTTTTCCCCTCGGAGTGGTTGCGTTGATTGTGGCACTTAGGCCGGCAGAACAGAGTGTGGCAGTAACGTAAAGGCGAACATGCTGAGGAACATAAGGAGTGGCAGGAGCAGGAGCAGGCGCGGGAGCACGTTGAGGATGATATCCGCTGCCAGAAATGTAGCCGTATGACACAATATGATGAGGGGGGGTAGGATCAGGAAGAGATGGGGCAGAGAGAGAGAGAGAGAGACAGAAGATAGAGGGGTATCTGAATACAGGCGGAGCGCTTAAACCAGGTATGTAGGGGGCCAAGGGGAGGCCCAGGCTTCCCTCCCACAGGGGCAGGATCTCCCTGCTGCAATGGTGTGCGGTCACTTTCAGTGGCCACTGAAGCTGCTCAGGGAGCAGGGGCTACTGAAGCGAAGCGAAGGAGGAGGAAGAGGAGGAGGAGGAGGAGGAGGAGGAGGAGGAGGAGGAGTTTTTTTTTAACCCGCGTGCTCACGCCCGTGAGTGGGTGCCCCTGGTTTCGGCATCCCGCGCAGGCGACGCGCCCGAGGCGGGGTGGGCCAGCGGCCTCATCGCACGGCGTCCATGCTGCCGCCTCTCTGCTGACTCCATGAGTCGCACCCCTCGGGCGGCGGCAGTCTGATGAACTTGCTGCCACCGCGCTCTTAGAGCTCGAGGAGCAGCCTGATGGACGGCAGCTGCCGCTCCTCTGCCCTGCGTTCATCCAGGGACCGCTCTGGCCGCAGATCCCTGGACACGTGGGCCTTCACGGCCTCCTTGTCTGACGCTGGGCTGTGGCCTAACCCCTCGCCACGCTGGGGTCCTCTGCGGCCTACCCCCTCGCCGCGCATGGGTCCTTCGTGGCCTAACCCCTCGCCGCGCTGGGGCCTGCTGCGGTCTAACCCCTCACCGCGCTGGGGTCCTCCGTGACCGAACTCCTCGCCACGCGGGGTCTGTTGCGGTCTGACCCCTCACCGCGCTGGGGTCTGCCGTGGCCTAACCCCTCGCCACGCTGGGGGTCGGTGCGGTCTAACCCCTCACCGCGCTGGGGACCTTCGTGGCCTAACCCCTCGCCACGCTGGGGGGCTCCTGCGGTCTAACCCCTCACCGCGCTGGGGTGCTCTGTGGCCTAACCCCTCGCCGCGCAGGGTCCTCTGCGGTCTGCCTCCTCGCCGCGCTGGGGTCCTGAATGGCCTAACCTCGCCGTGGCCTAACCCCTCGCCGCGCTGGGGGTCCTCTGCGGTCTGCCTCCTCGCCGCGCCGGGGTCCTGAATGGCCCAACCGCTCGCCACGCTGGGGCCTGCTGAGGTGTAACCCCTCTCCGTGCTGGGGTCCTCCGTGGCCTACCCCCTCGCCACGCGGGTGCCTGCTGCGGTCTAACCCCTCACCGCGCTGGGGTCCTCCGTGGCCTAACCCCTCGCCGCGCTGAGGTCCTCTGCGGTCTGCCTCCTCGCCGCGCTGGGGTCCTGAATGGCCTAACCCCTCGCCACGCTGGGGCCTGCTGAGGTGTAACCCCTCTCCGTGCTGGGTTCCTCCGTGGCCTAACCCTTCGCCGCGCGGGGCCTGCTGCGGTCTAACCCCTCACCGCGCTGGGGTCCTCCGTGGCCTAACCCCTCGCCGCGCTGGGGTCCTCTGCGGTCTGCCAGGTGGTGCCCGATGCTGTCCTGGTCATCTGGGATCTGCTGGTGATTTTCATCGCCGTCCTGCTTATCTGCGGGCTGCTGGAGGCAATCCTCGCTGTCCTCCTCGTCCTGGAAGGGGTCGTGGTCTTCCATGTCCATGGTGCTCCGTCCTGCTTGTGGGGGACGAGCACCCCCTCTGCATCCCGTCTGTGCCGCAATCTGGCCTGCTGCGGGGCTGGCCTGACCCCTCGCCACGCGGGGGCCTGCTGCGGTCTAACCCCTCACCGCGCTGGGGTCCTCTGTGGCCTAACCCCTCGCCGCGCTGGGGTCCCCTGCGGTCTGCCTCCTCGCCGCGCTGGGGTCCTGAATGGCCTAACCCCTCGCCGCGCGGGGGCCTGCTGCGGTCTGACCCCTCACCGCGCTGGGGTCCGCCGTGGCCTAACCCCTCGCCGCGCTGGGGGGGGGGCGGCGCGGTCTACCCCCTCGCCGCGCTGGGGACCTCCGTGGCCTAACCCTTCGTCACGCTGGGGGCCGCTGCGGTCTAACCCCTCACCGCGCTGGGGTGCTGGGCCTCCTTCTTGTTCAGCTGCTGGCGTGACCACTCCGAGGAGCTGTTCTGCCATGGCCCTGCGTCGAGCTGCCTCACTTGGGTCCTGTTGCTGGATCCCCCTGCGCTCCGTTCCACTGTTGAGCCAGGCCATGCGGCAGATGTCCTCTGCCGCTCTGCGCTGGCTGCGTTGTCTGCTGGGCCCTGGGATGTCACTGAAGAGCCGCTGGTATGGACCAGTCTGGAGCGCCCTCAGTACATGGGGTACGCACGCCGCACTCCACGACTGTTAGCCGCGCTCGCCTGCTTGTTTGGTTTAGCCTCCTGCCAGCGATTGCATGGGCTGCTCCATGCGGTGCCTCTTAAGCCAGGCCAGCTCTTGCTCAGGGTCTTGGTCTTCGTGTCCTCGTTGCTGGCGGAGTCGCAGGTGCTGCGTGCCTGCGTCCTTGGCCTCCCGCACGTGCTTCATCGGGTCGGGTCCCGTCGGCTTGGCGAACCACGGTGTCCCCTGAAAGGTCGCACTGGTCTTGTCGCAGGTTGTGGCATCGTTGAGCTGGCCTGTCGCATTAATGGTGTCCATGTCGCGGTCACTGTCATGACCTTCCAGCTCTGGCACCTCACTGTCTGGTTGCGTGGAGTTGTCGTCCTGGTACTCAGGGGTCCGCGCTCTGTAGTCATCCGCCGTGCTGGGTAGTGGCCTGCGCTCACTGCTGGGGATGCTGTGGGTGAGGATGGTCTTCCGCCTGCCCTGGCAAGCTTCCATGTGTACTCTTGCCGCCTGCTGTCTGGAGCCGTGCGGGAGTGTGAGCATGTGTGTCATGAGCCTCCTTTGCGCCCTGTGGGTGTTCTTCCAGATGTCCTCGCAGAAGTCGATGATCTGCTGGATCTCCATTGGCGTGACTGCCCTCCTCTGGTCTTGGACGTCCGCCCTGCCTCCAGCGTTGGTGACGGCGAGCAGGTACGGGACACCATGCTCCATCCAGTCGCCCTTGTCCTCCCACACACCCTGGTCCACCATGTTCATCCACTGCTCCGCGTAGCCCTCCATGTGGTCCACTAGCTGCCAGCTCGCCTGGGCTACTGGGTGGGGCTGCCTTGGAGGTTGTGGCTGAGCTGGCTGCGGTGTCTCTGCTTCCGAGCTTTCTCCGTCCAGGTCGATCACCTCTGCGCTGCTCGCTCCTGGGTTGAAGCCCACTGTCGTGACCTCCACTGGTGGCGCGGCTGCCGCTAGGCCCTCGTCCTGCTTTGCTCTTCGCGGCAGCCTCCCCTTCTGCAAGTCCGTGATGACCCTGCGGCCCACTGTAGTGGGCGGGACACATGGCTTGGCCAGCTTGCGCGCAACGCCTGCAACAATTCGGCCCTTGTGGTTCCCAAGGTAGCTGGTGGCCCCACACTTCTCGCACCTGGGCCAACCCTGCGTGAGCTGCGTCTTGTGGGTGTCGTGGACGACCTGCGTGCCGATCTGCACTGTCTTGAAATCGAGCCTCACGTTCTGGTGCTGGTCCAGGTGGCTGCGTTCTCTTCCCTGGCACTCTCCCATCTCGGCTAGCCAGGCTCGTGCACTTTGCCCTTTGGTGGGGCCGCTTCTGCATGTCGCACACCACCGTCTCGCATGTAGTTTGCGCAGGTCATGGCCGTTCTGTTCTGTCTTCTCCCTTGCATTATGTGGCCTTTTACGCTTGGCCTTTGGTCGCTGAGCCACCTTGTTGGGATCCTCAACCATCACCGCCATGCTGATGCCCAGCAGCCTGTTCTGGACTGCCACCGTGATCTGGTCCGTGATCTGCTGCTGCGCGATTATGGCAGGGCCCAGCGTTCCATGCTCAGCTCCCCAGCTTGCGTACTTGTCCGCCATCTTGTTGCCTATGACCCACCACGTCGGTCATGTCCACCTTTCCAGCTCCTTCGGGTGCTCGATCATGTGACTGGGGATGTGGTGGCCCATGATGTGGTCGGTGCTGTTCTGGAGTTGCCGCTTGGCCATGAGCCAAAGGTCAAAATTGGTGCTCCTGTAATCAAGGCCCTCTGGGTCTTGTATCTGTTTGAGGGCATCCAGGGCGCACTTGCAATCGCTGACGATGTTGAGCCCACGTGCTGAAGCCGCCGTCGTGTAGCCGATGGCCTTGCTAATGGCCGTGAGCTCCGCGCTTGGCACCGCGTGCGGCGCCCTGATCGTGCCGTACCAAGCTGCCACCTCCTGAGGCAGGCCGTCCCGGTCGTACCTGAAGGCCACCGCCGCCCAGCCACATCTCCGTAGCCTGGGGTCCTTGGCTGTCGCACCTGCCCCCCCGGAGCCATCCGTGAAAATGTAATCGGCTTGGACTTTGTGGCCCGCCTGCGCTGCTGCTTGGGCCTCCGCGTTGGTGCAGAAGATGTGGGCCGCCTTCTCGACGTCCTCGTCTGGGTCAACCTTTACTGCCCATGCTGCTGGTGGGACCCCTCTGAGCCAGAAGTGCACGTCCTGCTGCTGGTCGGGCGCGTCTATGGCCTTCTTGGCTAGGTCTATGTTGTTGCTGTGGCCAATCTTCTCGTTTGCGGGGCAGTGTAGTAGCGGTGCTTTCCCGTCTCGGTCGCCTCTCCGCACCTAGCGCAGATGTCTTCCCCTTCCTGGTTGAGGTTCGCTGCTCTGCGCCGCTCCCGTGTCCAAATGCCTGCCACTGCGATGGTCTCCAGCATGGCCGCCTCGGCGTGTTGCCCTTTGCGTCGCCTCCTCCTTAAGTGTCTGTGCAGCTGGTAGAGGTCGCCCCCCTCCTGCAGTCCTGCGCCGTGCCGATGCTCCGCCGCTTTCTGCCAGAGCTGTAGCTGAGCGCTCAGCTGGACCTCCTGGAGGAGCGCTCCGAAGTGTGGGATGTCTTCTGGTCGGTACGCCCACTCATCTCCTGCTGGACTGGTCCAGCTATCCGGCCGCCTTGGGTTCCAGCCCAGCCCCAGCAGCTGCACGATGACGCCTGCCATGGGGCCCTTTACCTGGTTCCACCTCCTGTTGGGCTCCTGGGCCTGCAGCTTGTCGTACAGCATGTGCCAGCCTCTCTGGTACCGCTTGAGCTCCGTCGGGTGGTCTACGATGGTGAGCCAGAACTGCTTGACTTGATCCACGATGGCCCTGGTAACCGCCTCGTGCGCGCCCCTCTGGATCAGGAGGATGGTGGATGTGCATCGGCCTGCTTTGTGCCCTCCTGTGAGCAGCGCTGCCTCTGTGGCCCTGAATTTGGTCGCCTCCGTGGAAGTGATGCCGTGCGCTGGCAGGTCCCAGGCTTGTTGGCAGTAGGCCCCCGCTGCGTATACCTTGGCTGCACCTCTGGCACCCGTCTTGGCGAGATCCTTGAGCTTTGCGACGCGCTGCTTTGCTTTCGCCTGCCTGGCTGCATGGGTGGGCCGCTTCAGCTGCTTGCCCAGCCCCGTGTCCACGCCCAAGTCTCGGACAACTCCAGGCTGCTTATTCGGGGTGCCCAGGCCATCCAGGATGCTGGCTATCTCCTGCTGGAGGTCCTTGTCGGAGGCCGCGACTGCCGTCTTGATGGATATCGGAATGGAGAGCCTCGCGAAACCCTGATGCACCAAGGCTGCCACGTATTTCACGTGATATATGACTCGCTTTCTTGCTCCTTCGATATGCAGGGCCAGGTCGTCCAAGTACTGCTGGATCACCACGTAGATGTGGTGCCTGTACGCTGCATCCATGATACCGTAGAGGAGCGGCCTCGTGAGGTCCACGGCCTGGCCACAACCTGCTACCATGCTGTTGGCGGGCTCGAAGATGTCGGAGAAAAGGCTGTGGGCCATGATGGCCTCCGGCGCCAGGTACATCTGCACTGCCATGGCCAAGGGCAGCAGAGGGTAGTTGAGGTCGCCGGCCTTCTCGATCAGCTGGTCGAGGCCAAGGTTATCATAGAAGTTGGCCGCATCGTAGAAGATGCCAGCTGCGTGGAAGCCCATTTGCACTGCCGCCTCTGCCCTCATCAGCCTGTGCATCGCCACTCTGAGCGCTGAGGAGCCTGCCACTGCCGTGTCCCAGAAACCTGCAGCCTCCTTGCTCCAGGTGGCGATGATGGGCCGTCTAGCCGCACTCCAGATACGGTAGGGCATGGGCATGAGGCCGATGGGTCGCTCGCCTCCTATGCCTGGCTTTTTGCCCAGCAGCAGCTCCAGCACTAGGTAGAACTGCCATGGCCACGCCGCACGCTCCTCGCAGTTGCGGAGGCACTGCACGAACTCCGTGAGCCCCTGGGCGCCCATGGCCTTTAGTTCTGGCGCCCTCCACCAGTCAGCTCCCTGGCCCGCGTTCCGCTTTAGGTGCTGGATGATGGAGCCGACGATGTCCTTGCTGAGGGGCTCGGGTGCACTGTCTTGGGCTAGCGCTGCCGTCCTCAGCTTGCCCAGCGCGTCCTGGATCTGGTCTGACTTGTGCGCATCACGTGTCCACCTTCGCTGCCACGCGCCCTTGCGCAGGTCCACCAGCTGCTGCGGGTGCGAGATCACCTGGCCCTCATGCCCCAGGGTGTCCTCGATGTGGCTGCGCTCCGCTGCCTTGGTGTAGGCGTGGGCCAACTTGGCGCTGCCTGCCGTGGCATCGTGCACCCAGTGGATGTACGCTTTCTTCGCCGCCTTGGTGAGGTTATTGGCTGCGCTCCTGACTCCTTCAGCGACCTGGTGGCTGGTAGCAGGGTCCACCAGGGCTCCCTCTGCGATCATGCCCAGCGTCGCCAGGAGGATCTGCTGATGCTCCTTGGCCTCGCCTTCTTCGTTGTGCCTGCCGCAGTCTTGCTGTTGGAGCTGGCGTGCGAGCTGCTGTCGTGTGTGAGCCTGCTGCAGCGTGTGATGGCCGCTCTGGTTGCGGGCCTGCTGCGGTTGCCGACTACTCAGTCCACTGCCTGCTCTTGGAACCGCTTCATGTAGTCGTCGTGCTGCTCCTTCTGGTTCGGCTGCTGGCTGGCGGTCTGTTCTGGGTCTTGGTGCTCTTGCACCCAGCGCCTCCCTCATCATCTGCCTCAGCGCCGCGAGCTCCCGCCAAAGCATCATCTCCAGTTCGTATCTCCTCATGGGCTCCAGCTCTGCTAGGCCTGTGAGGAAACCTTGGCGGCGTGGGGCTGCGTGCATCCCTGGGGATGTCGCCGAAGCTGGCGCGGGGTTGCCAACGCCTGAGGAGCCGCTCCAGGCCGATGTTGCCGCCGTTGGAGAACACCACCTCCAGGAAGGGCGGGCACCACTCCATCCAGTTGGTGTTGTCCGCTGGTACCTGGCTCAGGCCATCCATCCAGATTGCAGCCCACCTCTCCAGGTCGCCTCTCATACTCACATAGTCTTCACGTTCTCTCTGGTGACGTTCATCATTCCAAATGTCTGGTGGGGGAAGGCTCATGTCGCCTGGCTCTTCTTTCTGACCCCCCTGGTGGCCGGTACCCTCTGCCCCCGATGCGCCACCTGGCTGCGGGGGTGAGCAGTGCGTACCACCTGGGGCAGTATTCTCTGAGCCATCAGCGTGACGACGAAAGCCTTGGTGGCCCTTGATGCTGTCCTGCTGATCTGGGATCTGCTGGTGGTAATCCTCGCCGTCCTGCTTATCTGTGGAGTGCTGGCGGCAATCCCCGTTGTCCTCGTCGGCGTTCTCCCACTGCAGGTGGTGCCCGATGCTGTCCTGGTCATCTGGGTTATGCTGGTGGGTGTCTTCGCCGTCCTGCTTACCTGCGGGCTGCTGGTGGCCATCCTCGCTGTCCTCCTCGTCCTGGAAGGGGTCGTAGTCATCCATGTCCATGGTGCTCCGTCCTGCTGGTGGGGGACGGGCACCCCTCTGCAACTCCTCACCTCGCCGGGGCGCTCCGTGGCCTAACCCCTCGCCACGCGGGGGCCTGCTGCGGTCTAACCCCTCACCGCGCTGGGGTTCTCCGTGGCCTAACCCCTCGCCGCGCAGGGGCCTGCTGCTGTCTAACCCCTCACTGCGCTGGGTTCCGCCGTGGCCTAACCCCTCGCCACGCCGGGGGTCGGTGCGGTCTAACCCCTCACCGCTCTGGGGACCTTCATGGCCTAACCCCTCGCCACCATGGGAGCTCCTGCGGTCTAACCCCTCACCGCGCTGGGGTGCTCCGTGGCCTAACCCCTCGCCGCGCGGGGCCTGCTGCGGTCTAACCCCTCACCGCGCTGGGGTCCTCCGTGGCCTAACCCCTCGCCACGCAGGGGTCCTCGGCGGTCTGCCAGGTGGTGCCCGATGCTGTCCTGGTCATCTGGGATCTGCTGGTGATTAGCTTCGCCGTCCTGCTTATCTGCGGGCTGCTAGAGGCAATCCTCGCTGTCCTCCTCGTCCTGGAAGGGGTCGTCGTCATCCATGTCCATGGTGCTCCGTCCTGCTGGTGGGGGACGGGCACCCCTCTGCATCCCGTCTGTGCCGCTATCTGGTCTGCTGTGGGGCTGGCCCATGCTGCTGCTGCCGACGTTGCCTCCCCCATCGCCTGCTTACGCTGCCTGGTGCTGCTGGTTCTGCCTCTGGCCTTTCACCGCTGCATCCAGCGCGCGTGCATCATGATGTGATAGTTGGCGAACGAGCGAGGCTACCTCCGACCACCAGGCGTGGATTTTGCGCTCCACTCCTGCCCATGGGATGGCTGAGACCGTGTCCTTGGTGCTGACGCTCTTGAACGTCGGGGGGCGGCCATGGCCCATGTGCTTGCCCCGCTTGTCTGCTGGGATGCCGATGCTTTCGCACAGGCTGAGCTCGAGGGTTCCCGCGAAGAGGTCGTACTGCTGCCCCAGCTCCAGCATGTCCTGCTCCATGAGCTTGCTGATGACGGTGCCTGTCAGGCGTGGCGGGAGCTCTTCTCGCACCTTCGCTCTGACCTGCTCGGCTGCGGCGTGCCAGAACTCATCCGTGACCACGTGCTGGACCTCCTTGTCGTAGTACAACTGGGGCACGGGCTCCATGTCGTTTTCGGCCTCCTCGCAGCCTGTTTCTGCAAGGGCTTGGTGTCTCCTCCTCATGGCCTCTTGCCGTCCTCGGGCTGCGCGGCGACAGGCTGCCCGCGACTTGGGCATCCTCTCGGTGGTTACTGGCGGCTTGATGGCTGCTGGGCGGCGTAGTACTCTTCCTTTGAGCTGAAATGGTATTCTTTTCAGCTTGAGGCGAACTCCGATGTGGGGCCGCCACGGCACCTTCCTTAACAACTCCACGCCATCGAAGTAGGGGGCAAGCCTGCGATACCAGCGCGTAGTCTAGGCAGCGCGCCGTGCCTTCTGCTGGAAAGCACGTGGGGGCTCCTCCTTCTGCGGCCACCACCTGCCCATTCAACACCCTGGGCCAAATGCTGTCGTTGAGCTCCGACGGCGCGATGTTAAAATCACCCATCGCTGCCCAGGGGCCTCCCCAGACTGCCATCTTCTCTCTCAGGTCGCAGAGGATGTTCACATTCCTGTCGCTGAGGCCCTTGCCGCACTCCAGGTAGAGGAAGGCTACCGCGAAACGCACCTGGCGGAGGTGGGCGATAACGACCGTGATGTCACTGCCCTCCTCGTTGAGGTAGTTCTCCTCGAAGCCTGCGAGCCTATCCTTTAAGTCGAGCGAGCCTCTGGCGATGGCACACGTTCCCCCTCGTGTGCCTTCGCCTTCTCCTGGCCGTGCTCGAGTCCAGTAGCTGCGCAGGCCATGCCGTCGCAGGCTGCTCGCGCCCTGCTGATCTGCACAGGCTGGCGAAGGTGATGCTCCGCAATGCCGATGATGTTCCTGTCCTTGGTGCTTCTGATCTCCTTGAAGTAGTCCTGGGCCTGCGGGCCCCAGGTCGTGATGTTGAGGAAGTCCACGTTGAACTGACGGCGAGCCTTCTTCTTGCTCGCCTGTAGTCGACTACCCCGACGGTGGTACTCCTGTCCCTTCCGCGACCACCTTGTCCGCCCTCTTTGCCTGCGCAACCTTTTCACGTGCTTGCTGGATGTGTGTGTCCACTCGGGCCCGTCGATCTGCTTCTTTGTCTGCACCGACTCCGGTTGCTTCAGCTGTGTCGGCCTCAGCGGCGCCGGTGGGCGTAGCCGCTGCGGCTGACCCTGAGGCTGCGGCTCCTCCTGGCGGGCCTCGCTGCGGCGTGGGGCTGGGGCAGATTTTCTTGCCTGGGGGAGCCCTTTGTTCTTCTTCACCTCCTGGCTCCTGTGCTTCCGTCTGCCGCTTTGTGCGTGCCTGCTCGAGCTGGCGCAGCTGCTCCTGGTGGTTGGCGGTCTCCTCCTCCAGGTACCGCAGGTGCTTTGCCGTCTCCGCCTCGTGCTCCTTGACCTTCTGCGCCATTGCCTCGCCTTTTGCCTTTGCTGCCCGCCAGGTTCCTTTGTCAGGTTCAGCCCACTTGTGGAAGTCGTCTGGTTCTTTCTCGAACTGCTCCAGGAGGGATGCCAGTGCCGTCTTCTCTGCTCCAGGTTGTTTTGCTGCTGGCACTTCGGGCTTTCCGACCTGGGCCTTGAGCGTGTCGAACTCCTCCTCTGCGACGATGGAGGCTGCCATGGCGTCGTGAAGCTTGCGTTCGCTCTCAACCAGGTACTGCTTGGCGCTTTCCACCTGCTCTCCTGCTGCTCGCACCTTTTTTTTCTGGAGCTTGTCCAGCCTTCTGGCGGCGGCTCCCACTGCCTTGAGTCCGACAGGTTCTGCTGTGGACGGCTAGGCCGCGGCCAGGTCTGGCCAGAGCGCCTCGTAGTGGGCCCTGAGCGGGTCGTCCTTGCTGAGCTTGTTGTAGGCTGCGGCAGCTGCGGCCTGGAGGCTGACCGTGTGGTCTCGTTGGCCTGCTTTGTCGCCGCCTCCTGCACTGCCTCCTGGCTGCCACCCATCAGCCCATGTGAGCCTTGGCGTACCTCCTCCCTGAGGCCTGGCTGCCAGCGCTCCTCCTTCGTCATCCTTGTAGACGTGGCCTTCGGGCACGAGGCTGCCGAGGCTGCTGCCGCAGATGCAGAGGTCGCCGTTGCTGGTGATGTTCCTGCAGTAGCGCCACCTGCCACAGCCACGCACAACATAGCTGCTGCGCGGAAGACGGCTCCCACTGCCACTGCCGCTCCTCCACGGGGGCCTCTGGACATGCGGACTCCCCGTCCAGGCGCTGCCCGCCCCGCGACCGCTGCCGCCACGCCCCATGGCTGCTGCGGTGCCGCGCGCGCGCGCCCGACGCCCGTCGGGGGTCTGTCTTCGGTCCAGAGGGCTCCCTTCGGCCTGGAGGCTGGACAGCCCCCCAGGTCATCATCTTGAGCCAAAATGGCTACGGAGGAGGAGGAGGAGGAGGAGGAGGAGGAGGAGGAGGAGGAGTCCACCTCAGCGAAGCGCCGACGGCCAGCCACTGGTGCCTGCGCCCGCCTCCTCGCCGAGGGCGCGGCGACGCCTCGTGGCCTGGTGGCGCCCGCCCCCGGGGCACGCGGAGCACCGCCGCCAGCACAAGGGGCCCGCGCGAGGCCTGGTTACTGGCGTCCGCCCCGGCCCCGAGGTCGTTCTTGGCAGGGCCAGCGGCGCCCGCTTCTTGTGCAGGGGCAGGAGCCGCTGCGTGCGTGCTCGGGCGCTGGACCATCGTGTGGGCGCAGAAATCTGCAGTCCGGCTAGGTTCAAGTCGGGCCTGTCCCTTTGCAAGAGAACTATACGAAAATAGTCAAACCATAGTTTTGGGACGATTGTTTTGACGATTTTCGGATATGTTTGGATCTCGGCACTGCACTGAGAAGAGACTGGCGAGGCGCTGAGCATGGGCTGCCAGCGTCCCCTCCCCAACAAAAAAAAGGTGCAGGGACAAGGTTGCGGAGGGGGCATTTGCTGAGGAAACTGCCCGGGAGGCTTCAGACCCTGAAGGGTTTCTTATCTAATGAGGGCGGCGGTAAGATCCATGGTCAATGTCAATCTACTACGATCGGAGTTCCACTGGCACCCAGACCCTGGATTCCTGCCCCAACGGTTTCTTATCCAATGCCCTCACCGTGGGGGGGGGAATAGGCTCATGAGGGGAATACTCCGAGGACAAGGTACCGATCCTACTACTGTTGCCTCGTTTTCGCCCTTTTTGGCCTCCTGGGAGGCCCCAGTCGCCATCGCTGGATTCGCTTCGGAATTCTTGTCAGAACGCAAGCCGGGAGAGGTCTGGGGAGTTTCAGTATCGGTATCTTTTGGTTTTCCCAAATGCATCCACATGCAATCGCCCATTCATCGCCGATAGCGGTCTGATAGGCCGCAACGCAAAAGAACAGGCTGGTTCGCTATCGTGGGCGTGTCGCTGATCTATCGGCGATGTATTGTCGATTCAAGCTCGATGTTCCCTCCCTCCCGCTTGAGCCAGTCCCCCCTATCGTTGCCCCTCATCGGTGGCCTCCGCTGGCCATTCATCGGCGGCGAGCCCAAGGGGGGAGTGAGATGGGGGTAGGCCTTCTCAGAAGCTCCGTCGCCTTCTGAGAAGGCCTGGTCTCTCTCTCACTTCCCCCCTGGGCTCGTCACCGCGCTGAGAGAGAGACCAGAGGGGGCAGGTTTGCCAGAGCGCTTCTCGCAGTGGGAGCTCCCGATTTCTTCCCAGGGGCTTCGGGAGCTTCCTGGGAGCTTCTCAAGAGCCTCCCCAGACCTCCCAGGAGCCTCAAGGAAGCTCCAAGGGCCTCCAAGGAGCCTCCAAAGAGTGTCCTGGGAGGGACAGCAGGAGGGTGGAGACAGGAAGGTCGGACGGGGCTAGGACGAGCATAAATCCGTTCCATAGCGTTCTGGAACGTCCTCAGAGCGCTCCGGAACGCTTGAGAAAGCCGCGGAGCCCGAGACATCCCCCAGAGCCACCGGATCTCAGAGGTTCTCGATTTATCCGTACCCGATTTTATCCTCGTCTTGGCTTCGTCTTAGAAAGAGGGAGGGGTGGAAGGGCCCCCTTCACCTGGGCCGCGCACATGCCGCCGGTCATGACCTGCACTCCCCCCTCTTGGACGCCCCCCTCTTGGCCGCCCCCGAAGAATCCCAGCCCCCGACGGCGTGTTTTCTCCATGACGTGACTCCCAGGAGCCTTGACCCCTTCCCGGGGACCAGCTTCACATCCTGGGTCGACTTTTGACAGTCCCGAGGCCTGGCGAGGGCCCATGGAGGCCGAACATAGCGAAAAACTTCCCGTCGTTTTGTTTGTATTTGTATATGTATATGTATATGGTTATGTATATGTATGTGTATGTGCATTTGCATATGTGTATGGATATGTGTATGTGTATGTGTATGTATATATGTATATGTATATGTATATGTATATGTATATGTATATGTATATGTATATGTATATGTATGTGTATGTGTATATGTATGTATATGTGTAAATGTATGTGTATATGTACATGTATAGGTAGATGTACATGTATGTGTACGTGTATGTGTATGTGCATGTGTATATGCATATGTATGTGTATGTGTTTATGTATATGTATATGTATATGTATACGTATATGCTTATGTCTATGTGTATACATGTATATGTATATGTAAATGTATATGTATATGTGCATGTATATGTATATGTATATGTATATGTATATGTATATGTATATGTATATGTATATGTATGTATATATATATATATGTATATGTATATGTATATATAAATGTATATGTATATGTATATGCATTTGTATATGCATATGTATATGTATATGTACATGTATATGTTTATGTATCTGTATATGTATAGGTATTCGTTTAGGTATATGTGTATGTATATGCATATGTATATATATCTATATATCTGTATGTATATGTATATGGATATGCATATGTATATATGCACGCACATATATATATATATATATATATATATATATGTGTATATATATATATGTATATATAAATCTCGGAGTAGGTCAGGGGGGTCGAAACCGGTGCCATCATCCCCCATGGGCGCCCCCTGAACCTTTCGGGGTCACAGACCCCCTGGGACTGCCCCGGGCCGCTTCCAAATTGCCCACGACAGGCCACGCGGGCCGTACAAATGGTCAAGAAAGCCTCAAGAGGCCCCGAAGACGCCCAAGAGCGCTCCAAGTGGGCCCGAGATGGCTTGAAGACGGCCAACGAGAGCGCCAAGAGGGCCTTCAAGAGGCAAACATCGGCCCATTCCCCTAGTAAAACGTCCATTTTCAGCATGCTCGCTGGCTTCGTCTTCACAGTGCCCCAGACGCCCCCGCGGAGCCCCAAGACAGCCCAAGAGAGACCCAAGAGGGCCCAAGACGGCCCAAAAGGGTCGGCCTGTGGGGCTCACGGAACCCTCCGAGACGTCCCAAGAAGCCCCAAAGCCTACCCAGGAGGCCCCCAAGACGGCCTCAGGGGGGCCCAAGAGGGCCTCGTTTGAAATCATGTTCCCCGAATCCTCTCCGGGAACATGATTTCTGGGTTCCGAGGACGCCCAAGAGGCCCACAAGACAGCCTCAGCGAGGCCCAAGAGGGCCCGAGATGGCTTGAAGATGGCCGAAGAGGGCCCCAAGATGGCTTTCAAGAGGCACACATCGGCCCATTCCCCTTCGTAGAACATACGTTTTCAGCATGCTCGCTTGCTTCGTCTTCAGAGTGCCCCAGACGCCCCCGAGGAGCCCCAAGACAGCCCAAGAGAGACCCAAGAGGGCTCAAGACAGCCCAGAAAGGTAGTCCCGTGGGGCTCACGGAACCCCCAAGACGGCCCAAGAGGCCCCCAAGCTGGCCCATGAGTCCCCCAAGACGGCCTCAGGGAGGCCCAAGAGGGTCTCGTTCGACATCATGTTCTCCGAAGCCTCTCCGGGAACATGACTTCTGGGCTCCCAGGACGCCCAAGAGGCCCTCAAGACAGCCTCAGCGAGGCTCAGGAGCGCCAGAGATGGCTTGAAGATGGCCGAAGAAGGCCCCAAGAGGGCCTTCAAGAGGCAACAATCGGCCCATTCCCTGCGTAAAGCGTACATTCTCAGCATACTCGATTGCTTCGTCTTCAGAGTGCCCCAGACGCCCCCGAGGAGCCCCAAGGCAGCCCAAGAGAGACCCAAGAGGGCCCAAGACGGCCCAGAAAGATCGTCCCGTGGGGCTCACGGAACCCCCCAAGACGGCCCAAGAGGCCCCGAAGCTGGCCCAGGAGGCCCCCAAGACGGCCACAGGGAGGCCCAAGAGGGCCTCGTTCGAAATCATGTTCCCGGAAGCCTCTCCGGGAACATGATTTCCGGGTTCCCAGGACGCCCAAGAGGCCCACAAGATAGCCTCAGCGAGGCTCAGGAGGGCCCAAGATGGCTTGAAGATGGCCCAAGAGGGCCCCAAGAGGGCCTTCAAGAGGCAAAAATCAGCCCGTTCCCATAGTAGAACGTATAGTTTCAGCATACTCCCTTGCTTCGTCTTCAGAGTGCCCCAGACGCCCCCGAGGAGCCCCAAGACAGCCCAAGAGAGACCCAAGAGGGCCCAAGACGGCCCAAAAGGGTCGTCCTGTGGGGCTGACGGACCCCCCCAAGACGGCCAAAGAGGCCCCAAAAGCCAGCCCAGGAGGCGTGGCCCAAGAGAGCCTCGTTCGAAATCATGTTCCCGGAAGCCTCTCCGGGAACATGATTTCCGTGTTCCCAGGACGCCCAAAGACAGCCCCCAGAGGCCCCGGACACGCCGAAGATGGCCTCAGGACCGCCGACGATGTCGCCAAAACGCCCCAAGAGCGCCTCCAGAGGCCCCTCAAAAGGGCCCCAGAAGCCAAACATCATAACTTTTCCAATGGTTTTTGGAGCTTTCTGGCGCTCTCCCATGTTCCGCCTCCCCACGGTCCCGGACCGCGTCAGAGGCCCTTCAGATTGCTCCAAGACGGCCGAAGAGGTCCCCAAGAAAGCCCAGAGACGGCCCAGGAGGCTCCCCAAATAAGTCAAGAGGGCCTCGAGAGCGCCCCAAGAGGGGCCCGAAGAGCGCGACATTTCGATGTCTCCGGCCTGAGAGGCTCCTAGGACGCCCCCAGAGGCCATCAATAGGCTCCCAAGAAGCCCCGTGAGGCTCCCAAGAAGCTCCCCGGAAGCCCCAATAGGCCCAAGCCCCCTGCGGGCCCCCAAGACACTTCGGTAAATCGTATTTCCCAGATAGCTTTCCGGGAACATGATTCCTTGGGCTTCCGCCCACCGCCCCAACCATGTTTCCAATAGGCTTGCCGACAATGCCAAAAGGCACCCCTCGGTAAGCCCCCAGGGGCCCCATTCTTAGAGAGCCGAACAAATCATGCTCCTGGAAAACTCCCCGTGAAAATGATTCTCTATCTCGGAGTAGGCCGGGGGGGGGGGCGGGCCGCTGCCTGTTCCCCCCATCGGTGCCCGCCAGGTGTTGTTGGGGGGGGGTCCAGAGCTCCTGAGGCGGCCCGAGCCCGCCCCGAAGCAGGCCACGACAGGCTAAGGGGGTCCCGAGAGGACCCAATACGGTCCCACGAGGCCCCGAAAACGCCCAAGATGCCCTCAAGACAGCCGACGAGGACTCCAACACGCTCCAGGACGGACTCAAGAGGCTCCCCAAGAGGGCCCTGGAAGGCAAGAGTCACTCGTTTTCCGAGTGTTGTAAGTGATGCGCGAGAATGATTGCTAATGTCTGTCGCCTTCTCGCTCAAGGCACTTCTTTCGGGATATCATTCTCCGAACGGCCACGGCCCTCTTCAGGGCAGGAGCTCATCGGGTCGCGGCAGTCGGTGGCCAGGCGCTGGGCACCTGGATCCAAACAGCAGCAGCGGGTGCGACTGCAGCTGGTTCCTCGACGCCGCGCCCAAGGAGGCGTTCATCGGGCTGTTGAAGGGGCGGCCTGGCAGGCGCGGACAGGAGCACCTGCACGGGCATCCGTCATGCACGCCCGCCTGCCCCGAGCCCAGGCACACCTGGCCTGGGGTTGCCCTCTCGCTCGTGCTCGGCCTGGGCGGGGCGCAGTGCTTCGCAAGGTCCTCGGCTTGACAGGACGACGACGTGCCCGCGGAGAGACCCAGTCGGTGGTCCACGGCAGCATCGCGGACGGCGAAGGCCCTGGAGAACCTGCGGGTGGGCGCACGGGTCCTCGGCCACTACGAGCAAGAGGACAACTACTGACATGAATGCAGTTTGGTCCGAGGAAGATACTGCAAACGCCCTGGACCTCTGTCAGGTCGGCCCCCCTGGAGGCTTGTCCACGAAGCTCTCGGGCCACATCCTCAGCACAGACATCGCCCGCTTCAAGAGGCACCAAGAGAGGCTGCTCATCGAGGGCAAGCTGCTCGCTAGCGAGATCTGCCAACAGGAGGGCCTCCCCTAGGAGCCACAAGGGGCGCCCGCGCCTCCGCCTGCACTCGATGGTGGTCTGGGGGACCGCGCTGACGCAGGTGATGTTCCTCGCTGGGCGGTCTTGGAGGCTGGCGCTGGCTACCGACCCAGTGACGGGCTTCAAGCAGGCACCGTGCCCGGCGCCATTGACGGGGATGGGGGCATCTGCGAGCCTGCCGAAGGGTTCAAGCTGGCAGTCGCGAAGGCCGATACCTACGAGGGCATGCCCACCGCCTGGCAGGACCGCCAAGCTGCAGAGCAGACTCTTCGGACCCTCCTCGTCAAGTACGGTGGCGGCGGCAACAGGATCAGAGTCTTCGCCGAATCAGGGGACACCGCGACCTCTAACTCGCAGCTGGACTCCCCTGGCTGCAGGCCGCGGACTACCTTGTGGGTGGTGCAGCAGTATGCTAACAGACTTCGAGAACACAAGGCGGGCATACTTCGCAGTGCTGAGGGGTCGGCTTTGCCCGGCGAGCGCAAGAGCCTCTTGGGACAAGAGCGTGGGCTTGAAGGAGTCGTGGGTCGTACTGCACTGCACAGCGGGGTGGCAGCCCGCCTTCAGGAGGGAGCAGCAGCACTCAAAGGGCGCCGCGAAGGACGCGAAGAAAAGAGTATTGCTCGAGGTAGCGTGGACGAGAACAGCACAGACAGGCCGAAGTCAAAAGCAAAGGCCTTGGCTTGTGCTGACGGGGCTGCCTAGCCCCATCCCTACATTGAAGTGGCTTGGTCGCCCGCCTGCCCCCGAGCGGTCGACTATTCTCAAGGGGAGGCGCTGGCCATGCGGCACTATGTTTTGTGACGACGGCGGCGGAGGGCGTCGTCGAGACCTACTTCCTATCCCAATTGGTCCGGAGCTGATGTCGATGCTGAGCGGTGGGGCTGCATGGGGCACTTCGCTCACAGCGCGGAGGAGAGCTGCGACCAGGAGGCGGCAGGATCAGTGGCTTCTCAACGGCATTGCCTCCCTCAACGAGCTGGGCGGGCAGGGGCGCCATGTGCCCGCCTCCGCCCCGCTGACGGCGGCCCAACGTGCTGCAGTGAGGCGGCTGGCCACGACCTACGGCAAGTGGTCGCCGCCCGTTGATCGCCCTAGTCCCCATGAAGCGTGGGCGACGGACGCTACAGGGTCTCAGGCCTGGCTACTCTGAAGTCGAGGCCTCCGGTTCTCGAGCAGTCTACCAGCGGGGAAACATCTCTCTCCCCAAGATCGGTGCGGGCAAGGTGGCTCTTACGGAGGTCCTCCCGACTGACCTGCAGACCAAGCTGGAGACTGGGCGCGGGCTGTTGCGATCCCCAGAGGAGGCAGCAGCGCTAATTCGTGATGCAGGTGCTCCTCGTGCCATGGACCCGAAGCTTGGGCGGCTCGGCTACGACTACGGCCACGCTCTGGGGGGGCTCTACACCTCCGGGGTGATCGAGGCCAGCTCGGAGCCGGTTTTGGAGGAAGCTGGCATGTTTTTTGTGGCTCGCAAGGACAAGCGGTTGCGTCTCATCTGCGACACCAGGACGCCTATCATGCACTTTACCACGCCAGAACACACGGCACTCGCGACGGGTGAGGCTTTGTCCTCGCTGGAGGCGTCGGGAGTCAATATGATCGGCATGAGTTCTGGAGACGTCGACTGCTGTTTCTATCAATATGCATTGCCGCCCTGGTGCAGGCGCCACTTCAACCTCCCGCTGATCGAGAGTCGCTTCCTGCCGCCGGAGGTTCGGAGCGCCTGCGGATTGACGTTGAAGAGCGGCCAGATACGCTTTGGATTCAAGGTGGTGCCCATGGGCTGGAGCTGGGCGGTGCACTTTATTCAAGAAGCACACCTTCACCTCGTCAAGTCAGTCTTGCCATCTCAGCCATGGTGCTTGGACAAGTGCCCCGGCATTGACTTGAACGCTGAGGATGCCAAGGTCCTGTGCATAGACAACTTTGCCGCCCTGTCCCAGTCGCCCTGCCGCGCCGCCACCGCCGTCGCCGACATGCAGGCGGCGCTCGCGGCCAAGGGCGTGGTCTCCGAGCTAGACCCTGCTCCGGCCGAGCGCGGCGAGCTGCTGGGATGCGAGCTCGACCTGCAGACGGGCTGCTGGCGCGCGCTGGGTCGCCGGCTCTGGCGGGTCTACGGCGCCCTGGAGTATGTTCTCACGGGGCGGGCCAAGGTCTCTGGCCAAGAGCTCGAGCGTTTGATCGGCCACCTGGTCTCCATCCTGATGCTGCGCCGGGAGGGGCTGGCCATGCTGCACTCCTCATACGAGTTCGTGCAAGCGTCCTACTCCAAGAAGCAGCCGCTCTGGAAGAGCGTGGTCCGTGAAATGGGCTGGGTCAAGGCGCTACTGCCTTGCCTTCGGGCCGACACTCGACGCCCGTGGAGCGAGGTGGTCACTTGCTTCGACGCATCTCCTTGGGGCTACGGGATCGTGGAGACCGAGTGGGACCTGAAGGATGTGCAGCGCGTCGGCAGGGTCTCCGAGCGCGCACGGTTCCGCGGCGTGCTCGCTGCCGAGGGCGCCCCCCGCGAGAGGACGCTGGAGCAGGAGATAGCGCGGGCACCAGAGCCCGCCCTCCTGCTGGCCGGGCGCTCGGCAGGTTTCCCGGAGGTCGACTACGGCAAGATGCATGCCCGGCCCTGGCGCGTAGTAGGCTGCGGCCGCTGGAAGCGCAAGGAGGCCATCCACGGGCTTGAGGGGGCCGCTCTGACATGGGCCGTTCGCCGGGCGGCCAGGGACTCACGGGGGCATTGTTCGCGTCGACTCTTTCTTGGCGATCGCATGTCTCTCACCCTCGCTGCCGCCAAAGGCCGTGCGGCCAATCATTGTCTCCTGGGAGTCTGTCGTGTCCTCTTCGCTGTGGGGGTCGCCGCAGACCTGAAGGTTCAAGTGAGGTGGCTCCCCTCAGAGTGGAACCCGAGCGACGGTCCGTCTCGCCGCTTCCAGCCTCGGGGCCCCGGGAGCGTGCGTGGAGGTGGCGATGCTCCAGGCGGTGCTGCCCACGCCGATGGCCTTGGCGAGCTGCCGCTCCGGCCCTCGCGCGCCGAGCGAGCGCAGGAGCCACTTGCCTTGCCGCCCGGGCAACCGATGCCGGGGCAGGCCGAGGCAGGCCGTGTTGCCGGTGCTGGGCGAGCCCGAGAGCAGGCCAGACTTGGCTGGGCGGCGCGCAAAGCTTGGCCTCAGTCACTCGGAGAGCGACTTCATCCAGAAGAGGCGCCAGTTGCGCCCGGGCCAGACCCGGCGTGCTTCGGCCAAGTGCAGGCCTCGCACGCAGGTGCCCTACCTCGGAATGTTCCTCTGCTTGGTATGCTGGCTGAATGTGGCCTTCCTCCTGGACTGGGCGCACCTCACGTGGGACGAGACGCTGGGAGAGTACGCCGAGTCGATCTACGACCGCGGGGTCCTCAAGGCGTCTTCTCAGCGGCTGGGCCCGGCGCTGCGCTGGGCGTTGCCCGCCCCCCGCCAGGGCGGGATCCGCGAGGTCTTCCCCCTGACGCACCAGACGCTGAAGGGCTGGAACGTCCTGGACCCGTCCAAACCCAGACCGCCCGTCCCGTTCTTGGTAGTGCTGGCGGTGACCTGCGGGCGGTGCCGGGCAAGGAAGCCACTCTGTGGCTTGGCCGTTCTCGCCAGGTTCGTGACCTACATGCGCCCGTCAAGAGTGCTGGATTTGCGAGCAAGGCTGGTGGTCCTGCCGCTGCCAAGGGAAGGAGGTGTACCGTTCTTCTTGACGGTCGCGGTGTGGGCCTCAGTGTACGAGATACCAACCAAGACCCACGAGCACGACCTTGCAGTTCGGCTCGACCTGCCCAGGCAACAGTTGATGGTGAACCCGATCTTCCTTGTGCGAGCCCTTCGGGAACCCGTCCACGCATTCCTGGTCTTGGGCTACAACCAACTGGCGAAGGACTTCCAGAACACGACCCTTGCTCGGAGCGTGTGCTTACGCAAGGCCACCCCTTGCTCCCTCCAGCATGGAGGGGCCAGCCACGACCAGAGCACGGGCGACAGAGACTCAGGCACCGTGCTGCAGCGAGGAGGGTGGGAGGCGTTCAAGTCCGTGCTGCGCTACGAGAAGCACGGACGCCTGCTGCTGGAACCATGCAAGCTCAGCGACCTGCTGCGCAAAACCTTCCGAGCAGCAAGCAGGCACTTCGTGGGCGTCTTCAACAGGTTCTTGGAGCTGCTATTCGGAGCGCCCCCCATCAAAAAAGGGTGTGCTTCGAAGTCTTTTCAGGATGTGGAGCCCTGAGCAAACATCTGAGGCAGAGAGGCGAAGCTGTGGTAGAATGGGACATCCAACACGGAAGCCATTTTGATTTGACTCGCCCAGGGGTCTGGAGGATCCTCCGAGGATGGCTGACGTCTGGTCTCTAGTCAAACTCGTTTTCCTGGGGGCGCCCTGCAACGGCTACTCGAGGGCCCGTCGGGCCCCCCTGTCCAGCGGCATGCCCTCGGCTCTCCGGAGCCCCGCGTTTCCTCTTGGGATCCCGGGCCTCGCGGGTAAAGACCTCGAGAGCCTCCGCGTCTCTAACAAGGTAGGGTGGGTCTCACAGCGTATTCAGCGTCTCTGCTATAGATTGAATATCCTTGGCGGCGAGGAGAACCCTTGGCAAAGTTTCCTGTGGCTTCGCCCCGACCGCCGTTCCTTTGCTAACCTTCCCGAAGTCTGTGATAGAGTTGTCGATTACTGTGCTTGTGGTCGCCCCTTTCGTGCTCGCACTCGGATAAGGTTCTGGAAGTGCAGCCCACACCCTGGCCTTGATAAGTTAGTGTGCAAAGGTAGAGGAATTTGCTCCTTTACCGGCAAGCCCCACCTGGAGCTCTCCGGTTGTCTTTCTGGGGGTGGCTTTTTCACCCGTCTCGAAAACGCCTATCCCCCCGTCCTTTGCGCACTCCTGGCTGACGCGCTGCACAGATTGTGTATAGCACAGCAGGCAACCGAAATATGGAAACGAATGCGGGGTTAAGCCCCATCACAATGCTTGAGTGATGGATTTTATTTCAAGTTGAAGTATGGCAGATCTGTGTCGCACTAGCCAGCCTAGCTTGCCCGTGCTTCGTTCGAATCCTCAAGCAGTCTGAGCCACTGGCAAAATAAAGCGATCATGTAAGTGATGCACGAGAATGATTGCTAATGTCTGTCGCCTTCTCACTCAAGGCACTTCTTTCGGCCCACGCCAGCCCAATGCCTCGTTTAAATGGTCCCTTGAGCAGATCTGTGTCGCACTAGCCAGCCTCGCTTGCCCGTGCTTCGTTCGAATCCTCAAGCAGTCTGAGCCACTGGCAAAATAAAGCGATCATTTGGATGTTGGCGTTACTCGTTTCCCCACTTTCCAGCGCCCCCTCACGGCCTCGGAGGCCTTTCAGATCGCTCCAAGAAGGCCCACGAGGCCCCGACGAGGGCCCCAAGATGGCCCGTGATGCTCTCAAGACAACCCAAGTGTGCCCTAAGAGCGCGCCAGTAGAAGGCCCAGAGGAGTCCCGAGGCGGCCCGGGCCCGCCCCGAAACAGGCCACGACAGGCTAATGGGGGTCCCGAGAGGACCCAAGACGGTCCCACGATGCCCCGAAGACGCCCAAGATGCCCTCAAGACAGCCGACGAGGACTCGAACACGCTCCAGGACGGACTCAAGAGGCTCCCCAAGAGGGCCCTGGGAGGTAAGATTCACTAATTTTCCAATGGTTTTTGAAGGATTTAGGCGTTCTCGCTTTCCCCGCTTCCCAGCGCTCCCTCAAGACGGGCCAGGAGGCCCCGAAGAGGGCCCCAAGACGGCCCAGGACGCTCCCCAGACAACCCAACTGTGCCCCAAGAGCTCCCCAAGAGAGGGCCCAGAGGGGGACCGCCAACCGATATTTCGAGGTCTCTGGCCTGAGGTGCCCAAGAGGCCCCCAGGAAGCCCCAAGAGACCCCCAATAGGCTCCCAGGGAACACCCAAGAGGCCCCCCAACACACCCCAAGAAATCATGTCCCCAGAAAACCTTCTGGGGACATGGTTCATCATGGGCCCGAGAGTTCCCGGAGGCCCCCAAGGGGCCCCCAGGGAACGCCCAAGAGACCCCCCAACACACCCCAACAAACCATGTCCCCAGAAAACCTTCCGGGGACATGGTTCATCATGGGCCCGCGAGTCTCCGGAGTCATTCGAAGTACCATCATGCTACAGGAGAGCTGTCTGGGAAGTTGATTGGGAGCATGACTGATCGCCTTCTCACGGCCCTCCGCAGATCGTTTCGCACAAAGTTGCCCCAAGTGCCCTCTTGAACCGACGACGACGACGAAATGACGACGACGACGACGTCGACGACGACATTACGACGACGAAGACGAAGACGACGACGACATGACGACGACGAGGACGACGACGACGACAACGACGACGACGACGACGACGACGACGACGACGACGACGACGACGACGGCGACGACGACGACGACGACGACGACGCGCCCCAATAGGCGACGACGACATTACGACGACGACGACGGCACGCCCCAACAGGCTCCCCAAGGCACCCCAAACCCATGCTCCCAGAAGGCCTTTTGGGAACCCGATTCATACGGTCTCCGCCCCCCGACAAAACCATTTTCCTCGAAGGCTTTTCGAAATGCAGATTGGCATGCGTAGACTGTGGTCCAGTTCTTCAGTGGATCAGTGAATTCGTCAAGGCCTGGGGCCTGCTAGAACGTGAGCGCGCGCGAAGCGCGCGCGATGGTTCTAGTATATGTATATATATACACATATATACATTTATATATATATACGTTGTATTTAAACACGCATATGTATACGTATATGTTATACACATATATGGGAGTTCCCGGGCCCCAGGCCCCGGGCCGGAACCTCTTTTGTAGATAGGTAGTGGCCCCTTCCCCGGCGTCCCTGGCCGGGACGCCCCTCCAGCGGCCCCCGCGCGTTCCAGTCCGCCCAAGAAGGCTCCAACAGCGCCGAGAGAGCCCCAGGATCGCTTCAAGACCGCCAAAGATCGCTTGCAGAACGGCCAAGAGGCCCTCAAGCCGCCCCCAGAGGCCGCCAAGAGGCCCTCCAAGAGCGCCCCGGGAGACAAAATGGCCCCATTCCCTTCGTAAAACGCAAATTTGTAGCATATCTTTTCCTTGGAAATTAGTGCGCCCAAACAGCTCAAGAGGCAGCCAAGGGCGCCCCAGGACGGCTTAGGACAGCCCCAAGACGGCCCAGGAGGGCCCCACGACGGCCTAAGTGAGCCCAAAACAGGCCCCGAGGGAGCTCCAAGAGGGCCCCAACAGGGCCCAGGAGCGCTTCAAGACGGCCCAAGACGGCTTCAGAAGGCCAATCCGTAGCCATTTTGGCTCAAGCCATTTTGGCTTAAGCTTTTGGTTCGAGCAGTCTGTAGTTTGAGAGATCCAGGAAGCATCTTGCAATGATCAAAATGGTCGGGCGGGACAGCGGCAGGATGGACAGGCACCAACTGATCGCGGTTGCTCTCATCTTGATGTTGGGGAGTGCTGGTTTGCGCAAGGCTCTTACCTCATTTGGTCGAGCTGGCGACGTGACGAGGGCCGACATCGTGGAGGCGGCAAAGGGGCTCAACAACACTTGCGACGATATCAAGTAGGGCTGGTGGGTTGCCACTTATTGTATGGGTACTTGTCCTTACCAATGGGCTCAGGTCTTCCATTCACAGTGGAGCATGAAGCACCAGGCGAACAACAATGGTTCGGCAACAGCTGGGCGGGTCATTCGGCCTGCCAGCCCTAAAGGACGTGGACGCGTTCTCCTATAAGACCGTGGTGTCGACGATGGTGAAGTCTGTGTGGACCTTCATGCAGGCGGTGGACAACAGTATTGTGCAGAGGACCCTCCTGTCGGTGTGGATGCTTCCCGGTGCCGCGTTTCGTGCTCTGTTCGGCTTGCGGCCGTTCGGGCTGTGTTTCTTCAAGAGCTCGTGGGCGGATATGCAGAAACACACCACGTATCGCATGCAGTCCACAGGGTGGTGGAACGCTGTCCTCGCGGGACGCGGAGAAGATCAAATTCGGCCTCGGGCGCATTCGAGGACACTTCGGGCACGGAGAAGCTTCTTGATGGCATGGTCTTTTCCAGAATGACGTCGCTGGCGAGCTCGACGAGGTAGAGTATGAGGCGGCATGGGCATCCATCTCCACCTACTCCCAGTGCGCGCTGAAGCTCAGCTGGAACGGAAAATGGGTGAATCGATTCCTTCGCATCGAGAAAGGGAATCATCTCTTGGACTCCCACGACAGATTGCAATTCTTCCCTCGTCAGTTCTGGGCTTGCTTGGTTGGGTGCTTTCCCCGCGAAGAGATTTGCCATGCAGTACCTGACTGCACCCAGAGGCGAAGAGCCAGTGACATTGTCTGACTCCCACAATTGCATTGCGCTCCAGAACCTCTACAGTAAGTTCGAATTCTGCGCCACCCAGGAGGGCGAGACGATGGTCGGGGCCAAGAAGGTCATCGGCAAACATATGGCAGTCATCAAGCACGACCGCGAGATTCTTTCTATAGCAGCCAAGCTGAGCGCCTGATTGCGACTGCAATGCCTGACTATCCAGAAGCCGTAGAAGTTGGCAAGGACATGGACATGACGGGAGACAGCAGCACTGACGAGTTGGCCGACAAGGTCGAAGGCGTCAGAGTCACAGACGGCGGCAGAACACCTAACAAACAAATTGCTTCAGAAGGGCCAGGAGGCCCTCAAGACGCCCCAAGAGAGGTCCAAGAGGCCCCCCACGAGACCCCCCGGAGACCAACATGGCCCCATTTCTTTCGTCAAACGTCAGCAAAAAGAGCTGAGGAGGATGGGGAATAATTCGCAGGGTAGGGCGGAAAGGGGGAAGAGGAAGAGGACGCATGAGGGAAGGATGATGAATGGCATCACCATAGCGGTGATGTTTGAAAAAGGCAACAAGGCGTTATCGCTAATTTGCCTGTTTTGCCTTCCTGCCCTTTCGCCTGCATGCCAACCTTCAGGGGCCAAGGTGCATAGTGTGACGCGCCAGCGCAGTCTTGCATGTTTATATACGTGTGCAGATGTGTATATATACACGCATACACATGGACCCCCTGCTAGGACGCTATTATATATATATATATATATATATATATGGACGCTGCTTCGAGGAGCTTCGAGTGATTGCACGCGTCGCGTGCTCCGCCTGAAGGCGTGACAGCGCATGATGTATTATTCGAGACGGCGTGCTCAAGACCTCCTCCCCCTCATGGTGTCACGTGTTCCGCCCGCTGGCGTGACAGCGCGTGACTCACTTGTGTCAAACAGCGAGCTCAAGACCGCCTCCCCCTCCTGATCCTGGCTTCCCCCACGTGACCGCACGCGCTCCGCCCGCCGGCGTGACAGCGCGCGCATTCAGTGCGGAGGCGGTTTTTGTTGGTTCCGCCGGGCTTCTGTCAAAACGCACATATATACACATATATATATACATGTATATATATATATATGTACATGTATGTATGTATGTATGTATGCATGCATGCATGCATGCATGCATGCATGCATGTATGTATGTATGTATGTATGTATGCATGCATGCATGCATGCATGTATGTATGTATGTATGTATGTATGTATGTATGTATGTATGTATATATGTATGTATGTATGTATGTATGTATGTATGTATGCATGCATGCATGCATGTATGTATGTATGTATGTCTGTAAACATATTTATGCGTTACACATGTATGCTATTATATATGCATATATATATATATACATAAATATGCACATCTCTATATATAATATCTCTATATAGATACTGCTGGGGTACGGGGGGGCCTGGGCCCAGGCCGTGACACTCTCCCGGATTTCTTCTTCCCCCCCTCCTTTGGCCCACGACATGTTTGACCCCTTCCGGGGCCTCCTGGGCCCCCCCCCCCGCTTCTCGAAACAGCTCCGGAGGCCACCAAAAGCGATTAGAGCGGCCTGACAGGGCCGAAGGCGCCCAAATGTTGTGACGACAGCTCAAGAGGCCCCGAAAACGTTCCAAGAAGGCTCCAACATGCACCCCGAGATGGCCCCAGGATGCCAGATTTTTTCCACTCCTGGTGGGAATCGTGCACTTTTAGCACATCCGCACTTTGGCTCTTCACAGCGTCCTAAACGGCCCAAGAGGCCCCACAGATCGACCCAAGACGGTCCAAGAGGTCTCCAAGATGGCCCCAGGACGTCCCAAGAGAGACCCAAGATGGTCCAAGAAGCGCCCAAGACGGCCCAAGAGGGCCCCAAGTGGAGTTTAAGAGGGGGAATGCCAACTACCATTCGGGCCCTCCGCCACCCATGCGCCCCCGAAGCCGCAGCAGGCACCCAAGAGGCCCCCAAGGGCCCGCAAAGAGGCCCCGAGAAGCTCCCGCAAGGCCCAAGTCAGGCCACGAGAAGCTTCAAAACTCGCTCCACGAGACGCCAGAGAAGCACGCCAAGAGACCCCGAATTACACGCATCCAGGAATTATCGGTCCCAAATTCAGGGAAGGTAGCGGTATGAACCGAAGGCCATAGATAAGCAAGCAATTGGTTTGGTGACGGACCCATCCTTGTGCAGACATGTGTAGTGCAGATCGCGGGTCTCGCTTCATACATTGCGCGCCACGGGGCAATGCGGAAAGATGGTTGCTGCGGAGCCCGCGTGCAGGGGTGCGTTGAACTCCTTGTTGGCCACGATCCGCGTGAAGGATATGGCGAGTAATTCGGATACCCCCGAGGCATGTTCCGAACTGGGCGGGGGGATGCCGCGCGAAGCTGCCCATTGGTGCCATGGGGGGACCTTCTCCTGGGGCATGATTCGCGTGACAGGTGTGCCGACATGGGCGGGGGGGCGCTGTGCGAACCTTGTCTCTGGGCTTTTAGGCTGTTCTCCTTGTGGGCACGATCCGCGTGATGGGGTGTGCTACAATGGCGAGGTGGGGGGCGCAGTGCGAACCCTGCCTCTGGGGCCATGATCCGTGTGAGAGATGTGCCGACGTAGGCGGGAGGGCGGGATGCGAACCTTGTCTCTGGGGCCGTTCGTGGAACTCGTTGCGGACAACGTTTTGTTGGAGAGGGGTGCCGAAGTGAGCGGGGCGGCGCTATGAAGCTTTCCTATGGTGCCGCATGTGCAGTTACTTGCGAGGCACGGTCCGCGTGAGTGGCGTGCCTCTCTGCGAACCTTGCCTCTGGGGACGAAGGTGGAGCTCTTTGTGGGGCGCGATCCCTGTGAGAAGTGTGCCGACATGGGCGCGGGGACGCTACGCCAAGTCCGTCTCTAAGGCCGCAGGAGGAGCTTCCTGAGTGGCACGATCCGTGTGACAATCTACGTCCTCCGATGCCGAACGCTTCGTAGACTACAACTAGAGCATGCTAGAACCTAAGCGCGCGAAGCGCGCGCGTGGTTCTAGTATATATAATATTATATATGAACAAAGCGCGAGGAGGTCTGGGGAGAGAAATTCGTTGGCGCGGGAGCCCCCCCTGTCCGGAGCCCTGTGCGTCTGGAGCTGGCCACGCCAGAGGCGCCACCGCAGCGGTCTCATGCCTGCGGGGGCGCGACTGGCGCGACGGAAGTGAGGGGTGTGGGGGGGGCGGAGAGGGTGGTGGGGGTTCGAGGGAGAAAATGCGGCATTTAGTCGACCCGCATAGTAAGGATGGGCAACCTTCCCATAGGTACCCTTGCATCCTTGCCCCTTCGGCCCATCCTTAGCGACTCTCGCTGGCCAGCCTCGTTCGAAAAACGCCAACGTGGCTTTCCACGGCCCTCGCATCCTTACCGCGCATCCTTATGATACGGGTTGACTGTGAGCATAAAACCTTTCGGAGCTCCGCGCGGGTTTCTTGGATCGCTGGATCGCGGCGCTTGGCCCCCCCCTGGCGGCGCGTGCCAGGGTACGGCGATCCAGCGCCTGTCCAAGAACTCCGCGCGGGGCTCCGAACGTTTACGCTCATGCCTTCTTTTTAGTGGTGGAGCCATTTGGGGGCCGCAGTCCAAGCGTCTCTGCATGCTTCTAGCCTCCAGGGCGACCATGGAGGCATGCGATGGGGAGCCCTGGCAACCATGAGAACCGCTCCGCTGACTGCGGCAACTCCGCGCGCCATGAAGGAGAGCAGCGGCCGCCGCCTCAGCGTGGGCACTCCGCGCTGCGAATCGACGAACGATTCGATGGGGCGGGGGAGGCGGAGCCGAGGAGGAGGAGGAGGAGGAGGAGGAGGAGGAGGAAGAGAAGGAGGAGGATGAGGAGAAGGAGGAGGAGGAGGAGGAGGAGGAAGAGGAGGAGGGGGAGGAAGGGTAGGAGGAGGAGGAGGAGGAGGAGGACCAGGGAGAGGGAGGATCGGAAGTTAGGGGTTAGAGGACGCTGGGGTGCGGAGGCTGGAGGTCCGAGGGAGCGGGGGAGGGGGTCAGGCAGGAGGGGGAGGGACAAGGGATGAGACAGGGAGAGGGAGAGAGAGAGAGAGAGAGAGATGTAGAGTGGCGTGAGGGGAGTGAGCACTCGTGCGCGTGGAGGCGCCGCTGCTGCTGCTGCCGAATCGCGGGCGGGCTCGGCAGGTCTCCAACCAGTACTACGCGCAGGCCAGCAACCGCAGCCCGGCGGAGGTGATGCAGTGGCGGAAGGCAAACAACATGACGGTCACAGGGACGAACGCCCCCAACCCGATCATCACCTACGAGGAGGGCGGGTCGCTACACGCAAGGGTGACCTTTCGCCGGAGTGACCCCTTGGTGCTGGCCCAATGGGGCCCGCCGACCGCTGAATGCGATGCGATAGCAGCGGTTTGCGCGCCTGTTGGTGTCCCCAGAAGAGCCCCCCCCTGTGTCGCGCACCAAAGGTCACTCTTGCCTAGGGTCACCCTTGCGTGTAGCCGAGAGGGGCGCAACCTGCCGCGTGGACCCCCTGGAGGGGGCCCCTCTGTCCCGACGGCAGGACGCTGGCCACGGCAGGGCGTTGGCCACGGCACTTTCGAGGGTAACGCAGCTGGCATATTGTTTGCGGCGAAAAGAGTTTGTGCAGACAGCTGCTGCATTATTCAACAATCTTGAGGATCCTGGGGGATCCGGAAGTGCCCCTGAGGGATTCTCGTGAGTCCGCAGGGATTTGTGAGGCATCTTGACGCCTAGGTGGCCTCGGACAGCCTCCAGCGGCCCTGGGCAGCCTCGTGAGCCCCCGGAAGCCTCGGGCGGCCTCGGACTCGGGCGTGGACCGCCACTCCAGATTGGCAACGAACATCGCCCCCTCCCTACCTTCCTTGTTCGTTGGATGACGTCCACCGGCCACACATGGCCAATGCGCTACCTGGCGCACAGCAGAGCCGCCAGAGGTGTACGATGGTGAGTTGTTTTATTATCTTCCCAATGTACCTCTGAAGTGCACGGCTCTCTCTCGCTCTCTCTTTCTCTTTCTCTCTTTCTTCCTCTCTCTCTTTCTACCTCCCACTTCCTGTCCTAGCCCATCCTCCCCCAGCGAACCAGAGACGGCTTGGCGAAGGTCTCCACCCCAAGAAGGACGTGGCCTGAGTCGAGCTGCCCTCATTCTGCCCCATCTATAATGGGGGTCTGGTCGTAGATAATCTGGACTCGAGCTAAACGGTGTGTTGGTGATCTCGTGGGCCGTTTGCGTTCCCCACATGTTTCGTGGGGTTCTGGTGTTCTTCTCTGCCGCGTCGCACCCGCGTTCACACACCCGCCTTCCTCTCCTTCTCCCTCTCCTCGCGCACACACAGACACACAACACACACACACGACGTATGCGTACATACTGGGCACACACATGAGGCACACGTCCCGATACGGCCGCACACGTATGCGCTATATACTGGGCACACACGTGATGCACACGTCCCGATACGGCCGCACACGCATCATCCAAATACACATGACATGCCATCTACAAGACGTGCGTGTAGCATTCGCAGTGCATAGCAGGCGTGGCACTTTCTCGACACCATAGGGGGTGCGCAGGGGGTGGTCCCCGAGCGCGGCGTCTATGCGAGCCATGGCGCAGGGCATAGCAGGCGTGGCATTTTCTCGACTCCATAGGGGGTGCGCAGGGGGTGGTCCCCGAGCGCGGCGTCTATGCGGGCCATGGCGCAGGGCATAGCAGGCGTGGCATTTTCTCGACACCATAGGGGGTGCGCAGGGGGTGGTCCCCGAGCGCGGCGTCTATGCGAGCCATGGTGCAGGGCATAGCAGGCGTGGCATTTTCTCGACACCATAAGGGTGCGCAGGGGGTGGTCCCCGAGCGCGGCGTCTATGCGAGCCTTGGCGCAGGGCATAGCAGGCGTGGCATTTTCTCGGCACCATGAGGGGGTGCGCAGGGGGTGGTCCCCGAGCGCGGCGTCTATGCGGGCCATGGCGCAGGGAATAGCAGGCGTGGCACTTTCTCGACACTATAGGGGGTGCGCAGGGGGTGGTCCCCCGAGCGCGGCGTCTATTCGGGCCATGGTGCAGGGCATAGCAGGCGTGGCATTTCCTCGGCACCATAGGGGGTGCGCAGGGGGTGGTCCCCGAGCGAGGCGTCTATGCGGGCCACGGCGCAGGGCATAGCAGGCGTGGCATTTTCTCGACACCATAGGGGGTGCGCAGGGGGTGGTCCCCGAGCGCGGCGTCTGTGCGGGCCATGGCGCAGGGACTAGCAGGCGTGGCATTTTCTCGACACCATCAGGGGGTGCG